GCAGCTGTGGCTAGGGCCGACTTGGTGCCTCTGCTTTTTTGGGGTACCAGCCCTTGAAAATCATTTTTGGGAATGGGGGGACGTCATATTCCTCAGCATTGTGCTGGTTTACTCCCCTAGAAGACAGGGGAATCTCAATCCAAGATCCGCTTTCCCGGGCAGCTTGCCTGCCCCCAGTGAGGAGACCACAGGCCCCTGCACTTCCCTCTGCTAGCAAGCTACAGAGCCGAGGGAGCTCCTGGAGGGTGAGGAGCCCCCTCTGCTGCTGCTCCCCGGCCCAGGGTTTAGCTCAGTGCAGGGAGGAGAAACCCAGCCGTGGGCTCAATCCTGTGCGGGTGCTGCCAGAGCCCTTTCTGTGAGCAGCAGTTTCCGACGGAGGAGCTGCTGCAGCTGGGGCAGTCTCTGGGGCTCGGCTGTGCCTCGGTGCTCTGGCCTTGGCCCCAGCCTTTGATGTGTTTGCCTGTCTGTCTCCTCCATGGGGCTCGGCACCGGATCACAGCTGGCCGGGCTCTGGCTTCACAGGAGCCCCCGTCTCCAAAGACCTATTTAATTTTCTCCTTCAAGGTGGTGTTAGCAACACCCAGAAGATGCTGCCGGCTGCCTTGGACGAGTGGGCTGCGTGTCCTTTCCACCACTGACGTCAGCTTCTCTCCCTTAATTCCCCCTCTGGGACCCAAGCGAGTGCAGGCGCTGCCAGCTCTGATCAGCGTTAACAGCCTGCTCTCCCAGTGTGTGGCAGCGCTCTGCCGTGCCAATGTCACCCCCGACTCGCGCTGCCTGCCTTCGCCAAGCAGCCATGGGTGGTGGGAGAGCACTACCCTCTTCCAACTCCCCGGGAAGGGCCTGCTGCCAGCAGAGAGTCCCCATTTCTTGCACGTAGGTGTGCTGAGATGGCAGCTCAGCCCCTGTAGAAATGGCTGACTCCTTTTTTTTTTTTTTTTTTTTTTTTTCCCTCCTCCCTGCCTTTGCTGTTGCCTACGCGGTTGTGTGGGGAAGGCAAGCGGCTCCCGTGCTGCGGATGGCTTTATCTGTAACTCTTCCATCTGCTCACAGCAGCTCACAAATAACCACGGGGTGCCAGAGGAATTATGTATTTGGAACTCAAGTTTCTGCAGTCTGGCAGGGCAGCAGCTCTGCGCTGGGCTCATCCGCTCCCGCAAAGGCCAGCGCCTGCATGTGGAGGGCTTAAGGCAGCCGGCACAGAGCTGGGGCTGCGGCCAGGGCCAAATTACTCTCCCCAGTGCTGTCTCTAGGCCAGGCTGAGTTAGACAAAGCCCCAACCCTGAGCCAGCGTGGGAGCCCGCTCCTCTGCGAGCTGCCATGGGGGAGCAGAGGGTGCTGCCACCCTGGGGTCCTACACCCAGCCAGGCACCCAAGGGGGCGTGAAGCTGCTTTCTGCATCGGCTGTTGCTAAGCTGGGAGGCTGCAGGATGCTAGAGACAGACCCGCTTTCCACCCCCCTGCTTGCTGTCTCCCACCCAGAGCAGCGCCTTGGGACGGGCTCTTTTCCCCGGGAAGCACCGGCCGATGCCGCCTGGAGCCGCGGCTCCCGTGGTGGCCGGGGCCGATGCTCCGCAGCCCGAGCCATACCGGGAAATGCCTCCTGCTGCCTTCGGCATTTGGTAAAATGCTTACGAGCAAGGCCGCGTTTTCTTCATTTCCTGCCTGCTCCTGCTTCCAAGGAAACAAAATCCCCCAAGCCAGGGCTGAGGTTTCTCATTTTAAATGTAACCCAGGCCAATAACCAGAGCTGCTCAGCCCTCCCCATGGCCCGGCCTTCCCAGCCTGCCCACCCCCCTGCCCGCCCCGATGGCGCAGGGAGGATGTTGGGGCTTGTGCTCCCCTCTGGGACGCACCCATCACGGGCACCCCAGTAAACCACTGGGAGCAGAGACCTGGCCCTGGGCTGTGCGGTGGGCAATGGGCAGCCCTTGGCTCTGCCCCAGGCAGGTCAGTCGGCATTCAGGGCGCTGCTGGGAGGTTTTTGGGGTAGCACTGACCGCCCTCTGTCCTCCGAGCTGCGAAGCCCCCTTGGTTTTGACACCAGGGTGAGGGGAGGGAGGGCTCTCGCCTGGCAGGGCCTGGCCCTGGCTTTGCCGTGGCTCCTGCCAGCGCTCGCGCCCGGTGACCCTGCTCCCGGCGAGGTGGCAAAGGGTTTGGAGACGTAACCGAGCCCGGCTGCTGCCAACGGGGCAGGGGCTGCCCGCAGGGGGAAAGGGGAGAAAAACCTGCCCGCAGCCCCCTGCCCTCGCTGCAGCACAGCCAGGCTTTGGAGGCAAGAGGCTGCCTGTGGTTTACAGCATCTGCTGGGAGCCTCAGTGCTGGGCAGGGGGTGCCTGGGGAGGGCTGGGCCTGCCAGATGTGTGTGCACAGCTGGGGCGATGCTGTGCCCACGTCTTTATCCCACTCACAGTCTCTTAGCTCATATTTTAACCTCAAAGCTGGGCCCTCGGTCCCCCCCGAGCCTCTCCTTCACATCGACGGCGTGGGGGTGGCTGCTCGGCACTCGGGCGCCTTCTTGGACGGATTTGACTATTTTTTATACCTCCGCTTTCTGCATCTTTCTCCACCAAAAAAGGGAGCAGGCTGGGCCCTGCTGCGGGCTGGTTTTCTCCCCCCTCAGTGGCGCCTGCTCCGTCCCTCAGAGGCCTGGAGCAGCCGGGAACATCTCCGGACTCGCTGGCGTGCCGAGAGAGCAACCAGCACGGCGGCAGGGTTGGGGTCCCGGCTTCCTCCAGCCCCTCGGCTCTCCTCATCCATCCTGGCAGGAGGGACTCGGACACAGGTAGGAGCCGGAGGGTGCGTTTCCCAGCCAGGAAGATGCACGTTGAGCGATGGCCACTGTGGTGTCTGGTGGCAGCAGGGGATGGGACTGCGAGGGGTGACGTTCTCAGGGGACCCACGGTGGTGGGTACGAGGGCTCCCCAAATTGCTGGTTGTGGTGGGAGCCAGGCACAAGTGACCCCATAGCCTGATGTGGTGTGATGTGAGCTCACAGCGACAGTTCAGCATCAAATCCCACCACAACACTCCTGCCAGGAGCTGGGGGCTGCAGCCCTGTGCCCACCCCACACTGAGGGGGGTCCCACAGACCTGCATGGTGCTCCCTTTATGCCACATGCTTGCATACCCCACAACAACCCCCAGCGTGTCACCCTGCCCCCCCGGGGAAGGGACAGGGACCCCAGGGAGCAGGACAGACCGACTGGGCTTGCCCACCATGGAGAACCAAAGGGGCTGTGGCTGCTCCCTCTGAGGACATCAGCAGGGGAAACACAAGGGAAGGAAAAGCTATTTATGCTGCTGTACGATGTTGACATAAGAACAACCAGGTATAAACTGCCCATGAATAAAGCAGAGCTGGGAATTATCAGATTTTTCACTGCCGAGGGAGGTGGGCTCAGAAATTATTCCCTGGCTGAGGGATGGAGAGACCTGAGCTCGGCCCTGGGCCATGACAGACGTCTCCAACCCCCCCAGCTTTGCTCCTTTCCCCCTGGCTTAACAGGGGGACCCCAAATTTCCCAACCCCCTCCCCAGCACTGAGCCCAGCCCCTGGAGAGCAGGAGACATCACTCTGCGAGTCCTTCAGCCTCTCCCCAGCCCCATCTCCCCTCGACGCTTGCTGCCATAACCCCTTTCCAAGCGCTCAGCTCCAACGAGAAGTGGAAGGAAAATCTTTTATTTCCTTTGCAATAAACAACACCAACCCTCCGGGCTGCCACCAGGTCCCCGAGCCCAAGGTGAAGCCAAGCCTCAGGGGCCGGCACGCATCCTGCACGGCCCGCACCGCAGCACCCGGCCGGGCTCCGGCTGCTCTTCAGCCCTGGGCTCTGCCACATCCCGGCGTGTCTGCGGATGCACAAATGCCTGTAAGAAACCTGCTGCTCCCTGGCTGGGGTGGGCAGGGGCACGGGGGGCTCTCGGGGCGCAGAGCCCTGCTACCGGAGGGGACGAGCTGCCCTAATTAGCTCTTGCCATCGTTAACCCTGCCTTCCCTGGGACGAGCGCTGCATGCAAACAGCAACAATGGCCATCCCAGACTCTATCTGGGGGGTGGCTCTTGCAGCATGGGCACCTCAGTGCAGGGCGGGGGGGGCCTGGGCAGAGCCCTGAGCCCACCCTGTGCCACCTTCTCCCGGAGAGGGGCTGGGGTGCAGGCAGCTGCCTGTGATCTTGCTGCGATGGAGGCAGCAGTAACAGCACGAGGCTGGATACAGCCCCTCTGCCTGCTGGGTGTGGGGAAGATGAGGATGAGGATGGCCAGGGCCTTTGGTGCTGCTCCCCCAGGGCCGGCTCCTGCTAACAGGATGTGATGGGTGGGGGCAGCGCTGTCGCTTGGGATTTCTTACCCGGGTGCAGGGAAACGGAGCGGGGAGAAGGCCCTGCTTAGACTCGGGGTGACCTCAACCTGCTCCCCCCTCCCCGGGAGGCACCATCCCAACCCATCCCCTCCCCAGCATCAAACAGCC